GACTGATTTTGGTTTTTAGAGGTATTTTGCCCCGGGATTTCCTTTCCCCGGACTTACAGTCGGCCACCCCAAGATGTGCCACTGGGACATGCAGATTATTTTCAGTTGCAGTACCATCAGGGCACCGAAGATTCAGGAAGAATCTGACCTCCCACCCCAGATCTGCGTGAAAAGAGTTTAGCTGGAGGCATCACTCCAGGGGGAGCGCTGTCACGTTAGATGGCTGTATATGATGTAACCAGGGAAGGATGCGGGTGAGTCTGGTGATGAGCCAGATAATCTGGTTAAAACCTCATTGCTGCCGTTTACTGCCTGTTTGGCAAAACTGTTTCCTAAAAGAAGAGATATACTTCTCCTTATAGATAATCTTTGTGATTTTTCTTGCATTAATTTATGAAAAGCTGTTAGAATGATGCCTAGTAACTGGTAAATATTCGCCAAATATTGTTCCTATTCTTGGGATTATATTAAAACTTTACGTTATTAGAAAACTCAAAGTCTTCCCAGGATTCTTTCCCTGGAGTTCCACCTCTTTGTTATTAAAAAACGGACCCTGGGCCCTGGGTTAACAGCTTGATAGAATTGCAGCCTCAGATCCCAACCCAGAGCTCCTGAATGAGCAGAAATAAGATCGCCAATTCCCTGTAGTGAAATTCGAATTCACTTTGGAATGTGAGTATAATCCTAATTTAAATAAACTGTCTGTCTAGGACATGTACAGAAGTAAATCTTTAGGCTGTAAACACAGCACTCAAAACTGTATGTCTGTGTCAGTGCCTGTAATGCTTAACTTATCTTGAGGAAACACAGTTTTTGCAGATGATCTGTGGGTCATAGGTCATCTTCCCCTCGGATGCAGACAACACAGGGCATCTTCCTGGGCTGGGAAGGTCTCATGGGATAAAGCTGGTCATTGAACTCAGTCAGAGCCACTTCTCCTTGTCTGTCTTACCACCTTAGTAAACATTATGACTCCTGTTGATGGACACCCAGTTACCATTGTTTATTTCAGGGACTGCTCACCTTGAGGGCTGTGGCCGTAGAATTCTCTCAGGAGGAGTGGGAATGCGTGGACCCTGCTCAGCAGGAATTGTAACCAGGGATTATTGCTCTAAATTCTGGGAAAAAAATAATGTATTTGGAGAACTGTGGTTATCATTCAGTACTTGTGAATTAAATTGCACTGGCTTCTTTGACAGTTAAAATTATAGCAAAAATCTGCCTAATAGAATTGACCCTTATGCTTTTGTGTTCTTCTGCCTCCGGTCGCTGTTCTGTTCCTACTTCTGGTCATGACTGGGGTGTTAGTGTTTGTTTATGTTTACTTTCCTGCAAAGTATCTGTATCTGTTCGCGTTGAATCGTGCAGATGAGTCAAATTTAAGTGAAGCTGGGTTGTGTAAATCAGTCCAGTGTACTATTATAAAATATTGGTAGAATGTTCTTTCTCCTACTTGAATCTCTCTCAAAATTCTGCTTAGGAGGTTTAGGTGTCTGCTGGTTAGAGTAGGCAGTTAGTAAGGTATGAGTGGCTGAAAGGAAGGGAGACATGGAAGCTGGTATCCTTTCTAGTGGATTTATACCCACTCTTTGCCCAAAGGGAAAAGGAAGATACAGCTGAGAATTCCCCAAGGCTGAGAGCTGAGCAGAAGGCACCAGTACTGGGGTGAGAATGACCTTGGCCCAATCATGTGACCTTTGGAATTCCACCCCCACCCCGCACCCCAGCGTGGGTTTTCCTGTCTGCACTAGAGTCAGAGCCTGCACAGACCCAAGCAGTAAGCTGATCTGAACCTGCTAACCCGGCCCTCCCACTTCCTATAAAACTGAGCGTACAGATGAGCGGGGCTGGGTCTGGCCCCCCCCACCCCAACCCCGGCTGCCCGCGCTCTCTGCACAGCGCACTGTCCCCTTGCTCAGTGACTCTCTCCTGTCCCTCCTCGCTTTGTGTCCTTGTCCGAGGGTGTGTGTGGGGGGGGAATACCCCTCCCGGGACCTTGCTCATAACTCAATGTAGGAGCAGCTGAGAAGCCTGAAGGTCGGGAAGCCCCCACTTTGCTCGGTCACGTGACTCCTCCTGGAGGTTCTGGGAGGGGCCGTGAGACCCGCCTGCTGCCTCCCGCCCCTCCGCCCAGCGCTCACTGTGCTGCTCACTTTGTGGCAGGTTTGCCCTGACTTTCTTAAAATATGTAACTTTTTAAGGACTGTCTGCCTGCAGGATCTTGGAGTTAGCGTCACCAACACTCTAAGGTGCCCCGTGGAGAAGCTTGTGTTGGTTTTGTTTTCTTTGTACTTAGCAACTGAAAAAGGCTCTCAGAAGGTGTCCCCCCCAAGCCCGCGCTGCCTTAGCTGCTGTAGGGGAAGGGGCGGTGAGGTCACAGGATCCCGAGGCCTGTCTCTGCAGTCCCCCTGGGCGCCTGCCCTTCCCAGGAGCTGGGCGTCCCCACAGCAGCGAGGAGGGGCTTTTCTGTATTTCTGCTGGGGAGGCGGGGTCTGTGATGAGAGCAGGGCTGTCAGGAGTCTGGGTCAGTGATCCTGTTGGAAAAAAGTGTTGTTTCTAGGAGTGAACACAAATATCAGAGCCACGCAGGAAGGAGGAATAATTCCAGAGGCATGAGCTGAGCTTTTAGGCAGGTGCGGTCCCTCACCTCACACCCGTAAAGGTGGCTCCTAATGTGATTTCATGTCATTGACAGTGAAAGCTTGGTCGTTGATCAAGGTGATAATGAAACCTGAATTGTAAGGGACTCAGGGAAGACTATCTCTGAGATGAAGCTGCTCATCTGGCTACCTTACAGGAATCAAAAACTAAATTTCAGGATTCCTGACTTTGTGGTTACAACATGTTCTTGCTTGTGATAAAGAGCAGGATGATTGTTTGGATCCTGTCTTCCTGTGCAGGATCAGCGCATTTGAGTTACCGCTGCCAGACTAGAAACGTTTTCTCCGAACGCTGGGCATGTGATGCAATTAAAGGAGACACTAGTTGTGATAATAGTGAAAATACTTGTGGTCTGTAGATTTGGGTCTGTTTTCCCTCCTGAGGTTAGGGAAACAGCATGTATGGGTAAGGTGACTTTCTGAGTTTCAGACAATAGCTACCAAGATTGAATGGATCTTGTAATATATTTGGTTTAAAAATAGTCTAATATCATTTCAGAAAAATTTGCAGATCGTAAAATACATGAAATTTCATGCTCTGGAGATAGAATATTGTGCATGTGTCACTTATATTTTAATATCTTTTATTAACCATGTGTCATTGCTGTTTTCTCATAATTGGATTCAAACTATGATTGACTGTTTTGGTTTGGGTTGGGTTTATTTGCCCTCTGTATCGCAGCAGCGGTGTGACCTGTGGGCCTCGGACAGCCGATAGGAATTGGTGCCATTGTGTCAAGTGTTCACATCTGTACACTTGGCTCCGGGGCTCTGGGCCAGATCCTCCTGTTAGTAATTTCCAGTTATTACCATTCAGGATCTCAGAGGATTTGCTGAGAGATGCTCACAGACTCCCTCATTGAGTCTAGAACCTTCCTGTCCTTCTCAGTTCCCTAGGGCATGTGGTTTGCTCTGTACAGTGCAGGGCGTCTCCTGTGCCCCAGAGGCTCTGGGCTGTGCAGGTGGAGGGTTCCGTCAGGCAGCCTGGGCTGTGGGTTTGCCTTTCATTCCCCACTCCCGCCACAGACCTGCTCCTTGTTACTTTTTGCATTTTCAGAAAGAGAAAACAAGAGCCATATATTTAATGTATAAGTATCTTAAAATTGTAAAACATAACTTGGCACCTATGATAAATGTACCGAAATTTCAAAGAAATAGAAGACTGAGAAACAATAGCTTTTATTGTAGTTTTATCCTGTGTGGGGGTTTCCCTAGTGTATTTAAAGCCAGAGAAAGCATAGTTCATAAATGATTAATGGGTATGCAAATGAAACTATTCTTTGTTTTATGACAATAAAATTTTCAACTGTATTAGTTACATTTTAATATATGGATGTTTGTGTAAAATGTGAAAGTCACTAGATCAGTTCTGTGCTGTTTGGCTCATTAGTTTCTGCACCTCAGGAACCTGCTGTGAGCCCCACTTCGGTTGCCTGCAGTGCTAATCTGTGTATTGCTGTTGAGTAAACTCTAGGTTAGAACACCTGGGTTAAAGCCCAGGCTCTGCCCTCTTCAGGAGGTTTACCAAAATATTTACATAAATGGTGGAAAATAATACTGTTTTCACAGATTACTTTTGTGTATTATGCATCAGTTCATGAAAAGCTGTTAGAGTACCATCTAGCGTATAGTAAATGTTCTAAATGCCCTTCTTGCTATGATTTAGGAGACTACATTTGCCTTAAAACTTAGTTCAAAGCCACCCATGAATATTTTCCCGTGGTATTTTACTGTTTTGTACTTAAAAATGTGTCCCATGAAGGGAGAGCCCTTACCATCACTGGTGAGCTTGTTGGAAATGCAGAAACTCAGGATCAAGCCCAAAATATCTGAACCATTATCTGCAGTTTGAGGGTCTGCAGTTCATTGTTGTACGTATTAAATTTGAGAGGTACACTTCTAACGCTCCATGACTTTGCCATTGGGAAATATGGACAAATTAACAGGTAAGCTATAAAATTAGCAGGTAAGAATGTGTGTGCCTGTATTGATTCCTCGGTCATGTATTTCATCTCCCATACAATCAAAGTGTCTGCAGTGGCTCTGTGGATTTACCTCACCCTCTTTCCTCAGCATTCAGGGAATGTATACAGAGCAGTGCTTGGGTTGAAAGCGATGCAGTCACTCCCCCAGGTCCTGACCGGTTCCCTAGCTTTCTCTCTTCATTTGGATCAGATTACGACCTGTGTTCATAGCCAGTTGGTAAATTTGGTTGTTTCCCTTTTTTTTTTTTCACATTTCAGGGGCTGCTGACCTTCGGGGACGTGGCCGTCCGGTTCTCGCAGGAGGAGTGGGAATGCCTGGCGCCCGCCCAGCGGGCCTTGTACCGGAGCGTGATGCAGGAGAACTACAGCAACCTGGTCTCCGTGGGTGAGGAAAAGAGCTTCATTCCAGAACACAGAATCAGTCCTCAAAATTTCTGTTTTCTTAGTTTGCAGAATGTCTCCTGGAAGCTTCTGCTTCGTAGGGCAGTGTGTCAAGTCCCTGATTTTAAGGGCATTTGTTGGTGTAGAAACAGTCTTCCTCATGTAGTATTTGGATTTTAACCTCTCCTTTCTGCAGCGATCTGCATCTTTGACCTTAGATTTGTGGTACTTAATAGAAATTCAGTGGCCTAAAATAGGGTAGATCCCATCTTCAATTCTGAAAGTCTACCTGTGGATTGAGAAAAGCAGGCAAAACTAAAAAAAGAAACAAAAGCCTTTATTTGGGATTTTAGAATTGTAATTTGGGGAGCACAGATAGAGCAGCAACCAGAAAAAGTGTGTCAGGTGTGCAGGGAAGGAGGGAATACTTATGACAAAGTAAGACGTTGGGTGGAGGGGGCAATTTCATGACCTGGGTGGGGAAGACGAGGAGACAAAGAATCGCCTACTGCCCCTGACAGGCTGAGCTGCTGCTTAAATACTTTGTTGACCAGTTTATTGGTGCCACAAAGTGAAGCTAACTCATGATGGTCCCTCATTAATTACCCCATCTCTGTGAAATGCATTCTAACAGTTATTTTATTTTTATGGTCCCTGTTTGGGTGACCGTTGTCCTGTTAATTTTATGAGCAGTAACTTACAAAAACTGTTTCTGGTCCAGTTCAAAGGGCCCTGATGAACATTATGTCCCTGAAAGTTAATTCTTATATTTGGGAGTTGGTACAGTTTTAATATCCTCTTCCCTCCTTCCTTCCACCCCCCGCAGCCCCTGGCGACTACTAATCTGCTCTGTTTCTATGGGTTTGTTTTATAAAATATTCCGCATATAAGTGAGATCATGTGGTATTTGTGTTTCTCTGTCTTATTTCACTTAGCATAAAGTCAAGATTTATGCATGTGGTCACAAATGGCAGACTTCCCTTCTTGATGACTAAATAGGATTCCATTATATGTGTGCATGTGTGTGTGGAGGTACAGCTCACACTTCATGTATTCATTGATAGACACTTGAGTTTTTAGTATGTCTTGGTTAGTGTAAACAACAGTGAAGTGAAAATGGGGGCACATGCATTTCTTTGAAATCTTGATTTCTTTGCCTTCAGAGACAAACCCAGAAGTGAAATTACTGGATTATATGGTAGTTGTGCTTTTGATTTGTGAAAAGTTGTCATAACTCTTTTCCAGAGTGACTATAATAGTCGACATTCCTGCAGCACTACACAGGATCCCTTTTTTTCCCTCTGCATCCTTGCCAGCCCTTGTGCCTCCCTTGGGCAGTATCCCTTCCGACAGGCCTCTGGTGCCATCTCATTGTGCTGTTGTTCTGCACCTCCCTAATGACTGGTGATGTTCAGCATTGTTTCTTTGACCTGTTGGTGTTTTCTCAATCTTTGGAGAAATGTCTATCCAGGTCCTTTGCCTATTTTTTAATTGGGTTATTTTTCTTTTTGCTGTTGAGTTGTATGTGTTCTTTACATATTTTGGATATTGACACCTGATCAGATAGAATGTTTGCCAGTAGTTTTTCTCATTCAATAGGTTGTCTTTTCGCTTTGCTGGTGGTTTCTTTTGCCATGGAGGTGCTTCCTCATGGGGTTTAGTCTCATTTGTGTGTTTTTGCTTTTATTGCTTGCATTTTAGGTGTCATATCCAAAAAATCATTACCAAAACCCATTTCAGGGAGCATCGTCCCTATGTTTTCTTAGAGGAGTTTCATAGTCTGAGACATAATATTTAAATCTTTAATCCATTTCAAGTTGATTTTTGTGAATGGGATGAGATATGGGTCTAGTTTCATTCTTTCACACAGGAATATCCAAGTAGCTTGGCACCATTTAATTGAGAATTGTCTTTTCTCTGTTGATTATTCCTGGCACCCTCGTCTAATGTTAGCTGACCCAGTGTGGTTCTGTTTATTTCTGGGCTCCAGATTTTGGTTCATTGATCTTTTTGTCTGTTTCTGTGCCAGTACCATATTGGTTTGATGACTAGCTTCGTCATACACCTTGAAATCAGAGTGTGGTGTCTCTTAATTAGTTTTTCTTTCTCTGCATATCTTTAGCTATTTGGGGGTCTTTTGTGGCTTCACATGAATTTTAAGATTGTCTTTTCTAATTATATAAATAATATCACTGTAATCTCCAAAGGAATTATGTTGAAAATGTAGATGGCACCTTGGAATTATTGATATTTTAACAATATTCTTTCCAATCTATGAACATGGGATGCTATTCCATTTATTTGAGTCTTTGATTTCTTTCATCAGTTGTTGTATTACAGTTGTCAGAAAAGAGATCTTTGACCTCCTCAGTTAAATTTCTTCCTAAGTATTTTATTGATTTTGATGCTGTTCTATATGGGGGTGTCAGTTTATTTCTTTTTCAGAAAACTCAGTGAATAGAAATGCTGGTTTTTTGTGTTGACTTTATATCCTCTAACTTTACTGAATTCATTGATTAGAGCTAAGTGTTCTTTGGTTAAGTCTTCAGGATTTTCTCTATAAAATCGTCATCTGCAAATAGAGACAGTTTTGACTTTTCCCTTCTAAATTTGGTGATTGTTATTTCTTCCTTCTGTAGCTGGGACTTCTGGTAGCTGTGTTGAGCAGGAGCAGCAGGAATGGACACCCTACTTTTGTTCCTTATCTCAGAGGTAACGCTTTCAGTCTTTACCATGAACTATGTTAGTGAGAAGTTGGCACATATGGCCTTTTATCATGTTGAGATGTGCTCCTTCTAGGCCTAATTTGTTGAAAGTTTTTATCATGAGTGGACATTGAATTTTATCAAGTGCTGTTTCTGCATCTATTGAGATGATCATAAGGATGCTTTTTATTATTTCATTTTCTGTTAGTGGGATCTGTCACATTGATTGATTTGCCGTTGAACCATCCTTGCATTTCAGGAATAAGTTTGCTTAATCACGCTGAATAGTGAGTCTGTTTAGTGGGCTGATGAATTCAGTTCACCAGTATTCTATTGAGAATTTTTGCGTCTGTATTGATCACTGATAATTGCCTTATAGTTTCTTTCCTATAATGTCCTTTCCTGGTTTTGGTGTCAGGATGGTGCCGAGCCGGCACAGTGAATTAGGGAGTGTTACTTCTTTTCAGTTTTTAGGAAGAGGAAGGAAGTCTGGTGTTAAGTCTTCCTTAAATATTTGGTAAAATTCACCTGTGAAGGGATCTGTTCCTGGGAATTTCTTTTTTGGCAGATTTTTTTGACTACTGATTCTCCCTACTCTAGTAATTGGCCTATTCATATTTTGTATTTCTTCCCAGTTCTGTTTTGGGAATTATATGTTTTGAAAATTTTTCCATTTCTTATAGGTGGTTTAATTTGTTGGTGTCTAGTTGTTCCTAGTAGCCTCCTCTCATCCCTTGAATTCCTCTGATATCAGTTCTGAGGCTCCTTTGTCATGCCCAATTGTGTTTATTTGTTCTTTTCTGTGTTTTCTTGGTTAGTCTAACAATTTTGTTGGCCTTGACAAAGAAACAGCTCTTTCTTTGGTTAATCCTTCCCATTACTTATTTCTGCTCTTGATCTTTATTTCCTCCTGCTAACTTTGGGCTCATTTTGTTCTTTTTCTAGTTCTTAAGGCATAGAGTTAAGTTTTGTTTGAGATCTTTTTAATATGGGTCATTATTGTTACAGATTACCTCTTTTAACTGTTCTTGTTGCATCCGGTAAATTCTGATAGATAATGTCTCCATTTTTGTTTGCATCAAGAAACTTTCTAGTTTTCTCTTTTAATTTCTTTGATCCCATGGTTCAGGAGAGTTGTTTAATTTCTATGTGTTTGAGAATATTCCAGTTTCCCTCTTGGTCATTTCCAGTTTCATGCCATTGTAATCAGACAAGATAGTCTTTATGAATACAGTCTTCTATGATTTGCTAAGAGTGTTTTCTGGCCTAACATTTCATCTGTCCTAGAAAATACTCCATGTTCAATTGAGGAAGAACATTCTGTTCTGCTCATGTGTGGGTAGGATGTTCTGTGTGTTTCTATCAGGTCCAATTTGTCTGTTTTGCTATTCAGTTCCACTGTTTCCTTTATGATTCCCTGGACGATGTATCCCTCTTTG